GAAAGCCCAGAGGATCACATGCTGAAGAGAGCCTGCTGCAATGGACACCATGGTATTCCAGCCTAGTAGAAGGAGTGAAACCTAAGAGTGGCTGTGGGTAGGCAAGAGGCTCACTTGCATGTTGATAATTGTGCCTGAGGCTGTATCTCCTCACACCACCCATTCTCCTTGCACCCTGCCACTAAGGGAGTGGGCACACAAGACTTTGAGACTTGCCATACAACCACTGAGGACTGGGCTGAATGCTTAGCCTAACTCATGCCCACACATGGCCACCATTTACTCTGGTGCTTATTAGCACCTCGCAAGGACCTGCAGGATCAAGGCTGAAGTGTTTTGCGGTGCAAAGCAGCGTTCAAGTACACCTCTGTAGTAGACATGTGATCTGCTCTTCCCCATTCTCCCCACTCCCCATCTGGGGTGGTTTAAATGGAAGAGCAGTCAGGGAGCAACCTTCTTAGTGCCCCACAGTGTTGCAACCAGGTCCAGCTCCAGGCACCAGTGAAGGAAGCAGGCGCCTGGGGCGGCCAATAGAAAGGGGCGGCACTCTGTCCATCATCACGGCGAGCCCTGCAGTCCCTCTCTTCCTCTTCGGCAGCACTTTGACGGCAGCTCAACCTGGCTTGGTTTTGGGGTTTTTTCCCTTCGCCGCTTGGGGTGGCAAAAAAGCTGGAGCCCGCTCTGGACGCAACCCATCCAAGACTGTTTCTGTGGTGGGAAAGGCATGCTGTGCTCTGAGAGCCCCTAAGAGTCCCACTTTTCTGCAGCCTGAAGCAACAGCCAGGGAAAGAAATGGGGGATGGGGAAAATCCAGCTCTCCATTATTCTGTCCTTGTTGCTGCCCACTGGTCATGTCACAGTCAGGGAGGGAGAGGTGGGTCAGGAGAAGCCATGGACTCTGTAGCTGACAACTTTTTGGAAGTGCAGTGCAGTGCAGAACAGGGAGGCATGGATCAGCGTTCACATCACACTCCCCATCCGTACCCAGCCCTAGTCGGGGAAGCTACTGATTCAACCAGCGGACCAAATTCGGAGATGAATCCTGGTCACGTACCACTTGAGGCACGTTGCACATACGCTAAGAAGTGCAGAACAAGGGAGATTCAACGCTCTGAGCTGCAGTCCTAGCAAATTTCTTGATCCTTTACTACCTTGGTAAATCATTTATTAGATCGGCCGTTTTACATAAATTTCTGAAAAAAACATAAAATAGATTTATCACAAAACCGTGTCCTCCTACCAACCATCTACAGACTGGTACATATCTTTCTCAGTTTATTAATTAACTGATGCACAGAAACTGCTTTAAGCTTTTTAACCTCTCCCTCTCTTTCTTTGTCCTTCAAGAGTGGGGACCACAATGCAGGAGAGATGTTAAAAAGTAGGGGGTGTTAACCAGAATGGGTGGTGCATTAAAGTAGTGCTTTAAAGTCAATAGCAGCAGACCCCAGAATTAAAGACATTCAGTAAAATGTTTAAGGCGTATTTTTTGTGCCAAATTCCCCTCTTAGTGTTGGCAGTTTAAAACTGGAGTAGATCTGCTGAAGTTGGTGGAGTTACTCTGGATTCACCCTTGAATAATAGAGAGCAAAATGTTGCTCATTGTCATTATCCTGCTTGCAAAATTTCTTCAGAAGAAGAATGGCATGAGGTGGCCGTTATCTAATCCACTAGCAGGCATCTGACCTGAAAAGTCACTGTTGTCTATCAATCCATCGCCCAGCACTGTGGCATCTCAGCTTTCAAGTTGAACCAGAGCATCTCTGCTATTTGGAGTCCAGGTAACTGCCTTGCCAGCCTGCAAAGCATCCCCCAGAAATAATACACTCAGCTCTATACAACCTGTAACAGAGCCTCCCAAGCACATCAGGCCACTCGCGGCCAAAACTATCACCTTTAGACGGGAGACATTGGCTCTCTGCTCCTGGGAAATGCCACACCAGCTTCTGGCTAGCAGAGCATTTTTCATGCCATGCACTGAAGTACCAGTGGAAAATTGTGACATTTGATGAAAGAAGTCTGAAAAAAGGACATTCTAAAGAACCATAAGCCTGGCCCAGGGTACATACCCAATACCAAAGAACATCCAGGTACCTCTCCCTGCTTTTTTTCCCTATGCCATCTGTGCAACATGGTTGGTGACCACCTTTTCTATCATCTTCGCAAGTGCCACCCGTTAGTATTCCATGTGGTGTTACACAGAACGGTCACCCTCAGAAATCTACTGTAAAAGCTATGGCTTAGTAGCACCATTATAAGGCTTTGAGCATGTTCAGACAAGAGAAACTGTCAGTGGACTAACTACAACGTTGTCGTTACCCCAGTGAAAAGCCCTGCGTGGAGCATAGATGTACTGGTGCAAAACAAATCCTACTAAATCCCACTGCCTCTGTAGAAAAGCAGCACAATAGAGCATGTGGCTGACACGCAGCTGGAGTTTCTTGTCTGTGAGAGTTTGACTAAGTTCCCACCGCGGGCACCGCCTTCAGGAGTGCCCGACCCAGACATCCATTAATTAGCACCGCTGTAACATCAGGATGTAGATCCTAGACAGATGGGTCCTGGGCTATGGAAACGGTGGGCACAATGTATTTTGCAAGGGAGACAGCTGAGAGGGTGGAACCCCACATTCAGAGGTAGTTCAATACATGACTGTTGGTAGTTACCCAGCTGAAACCAGCCCAACTCGGCATGAGGCATGTTCTTCTCATGTCTGGAATAAGAGCACTGAGAGCCTAGAAGAGAGTTGGGGGGGGAAACAGCTCTCATTAAGAGCTGCATTCAAAGACATGGGCCAGGTGACTAGCAATTTCAACTTAGTGATCTAGGGAAATACACCCACTGCAGCTCCCAGGGCCTGCTCCTGCTCCACTGAAGTCCATGGGAGCTTTGCTAGCTCCTTCATTCGCAGCAGGATCAGGGCCCTATTGAGTGACAAGTCAGTCAACCAATCACACACAACCTAGAATCCTCACATTATCAGACCTCTTCTTGGCTGATCCATGATCCCGGGGGCAGGATAATTGTTATGTAACAACATCCAAGATCTGATTGACTCTTTCATGAGTTTCCTCTACCATTGCGCTCCAGCTTTCTGTCAAGAAATGAGGGGCAAGCAAATGTCAAGCATGAGGGGCAAGCAAAGGTCTTTGCTCCCATCTTCACCACTGCAATACCAGAACCTCCTCATCTGTGTTGTGCTCTAAGGGCAACTCCACAAAGAACTGATTACTGACTTTGGTGCTGGGGAAGGGAGCACAAGTTAGTTCCATGTGCTGACCCATCACTGCCACTTGAAGATGTGACTGCCACGCTCACGTAGGATATCATCTCACCTTGATGTAACCCTTAATTTCATTCGTTTCACGGCCTCTCACAGAGCTGCATTAACAGCCAAAGGCAGAGAGTGTGTGGGTTTAAGACTGGTTTGTGTGTGTGTGTCTGTGTGTGATTTGTGAAAGAAATCAGTCCTGTAGCAAGTGAGACTTGCTGATAGCCAAGGATTAGCTCAGAGATGAGACACTGATGAGGACTCTGAGCGTATGGAGGGGCAGGGCTGCAAACCACGTTCCATTCCATTGTCAGGGGCAGGCATGTATCTGTCAGCAAGGGCTCATCCTTAGCTTTTGGGGGTTCTAAAACTGCCTCTTTGCCTCACCCTGTTTATCAGCAGACCCTGGATGGTTTGTGCTGCCGGAGCCCTGTGTAGGGGGATGACCAGCACAGGCTGTTACACAGTATCTATGCACAGACCCAAGGGAGGCGGACAACACATGAGGATGCTCATGGCTGGAGCATGAGGGGCATTTCTGGCATGTTGTGGTTGCCTCATGCTTCTCCAGACACCAGTTACCAGCTAAATGCGCACCCGGAAGGGAGGGCAGAACTCCCAGCAGTCTTCAGAAGCACAGGTTTCTATTGCTGGATCTAAAGTAGGACCCCAAGTAGTAGCTAATCCCATTAGCATCCGTGTCATTATAATGGCCTCCAGCCATTGGGGGGGCGAAGCCACAATGACAAGCTCCGCTCTCCCCCATTACAAAATAATAAATAAGACTCCGTTCCAAGTATGTAAACTAGGCTGGCTACTCCAGCACACCGTGGACTTGGTCTAGCTGCATCTCTGCTCAGCCTCTGTCCCAACATGCTGGGAACTGACCTGCCCTCGCTCGTCTGGTCCCAAAGTGGTCCCCTTAGCCCCTTATAATTACCCCATTCACATGTCCAGTCGCTGAGGGTGATTCCCATCACAGCAAGCTCTACATGCCTGCTTGCAAAGCGCAGTGCTGTCTAGATGCCATGCAGAGTAACCCGAGCTACTCATGTAACCCCCATTAGGGAAGTGTGGGTGTTTGCCTCCCTCAAAGGTGTGAATAAGAGTCCCCTACAGCTATCAGTTAACAGAGCTGCTCCTTCACTTCAAGTGATAACTGTTCAAGCTTTCAGTGCTGATGGTCTAGGGTTTGAGCCAGCTCAGGTTGGCATGGGAAAGTCATTGGGTTCTCCCATATTTACTCTGCCATTATAAGCAAGTAGTTATGGCTATATCAAGTTCCCTCATTCATAGATGCAGCAGGGAGAGGAGAAGGTGCTGCAGAGAAGATAAGAGGGAAACATCAAGGGTGGTAGAAGCAGATTTACCCCAGCCTTGGGAGAGAGAGAGAGACACACAGAATAAGTGCCTTGAAAATGACTCATGACAAGTGCCAACTCGCAGTTAGACATAGCCTCAGAGCTGCGTGCATTAATGCTGGGGTTCAAACACGCAGGGCCCCGGACTCTGTGTGGTGTAATGTCTGGAACTGCTTTCGGATCAGATACTGTGATCTGTAACAACCCACCCCATTGGCAACCATCTTCCCCTCACCCTCCCTCCCTCCCACCCACCTCCCCAGTCCTTTCCTCGCCCACACCCCATGTTCATTCTAAGTGGTCTTGCATGTAGTGCTGCAGCCCCTTTCAGTTCGTTAAACCCCCCGCCTTGCCTCCTGTTTTGACAGGGTTTGTGAGTTTTGACAACCCCGCCAGTGCCCAGGCTGCCATCCAGGCTATGAATGGTTTCCAGATTGGCATGAAGAGGCTGAAGGTGCAGCTGAAGAGGCCGAAGGATGCTAACCGTCCCTACTGAAGAGTTGTGGGAACCGCTGGATACACATGACTAGCACAGGTAACTGCACGGGGGAGGGGATGTCACCTGTTGTTGTACAGAATCTGTGTTGTGGACCCTAAAGAAAGATTAGTTCTGCAATTCTCTGGCTTCTATCTTTTCCACTAGGTCTCTGGCTAGAGCCACACCACCACACGCACACACGCACACAAAACAGGAACTGTTTGTGTGTGCACTTTGGTAGAAAGAGGCTAAATGTGGGACAGGCCAATGTCCTCCTCCCTGTGGCATCGTGTGACTATGATGCGTCTTCCTGACCACTAGGGAGGATAGCAGCTGTTCCGGTCACTTGCTCAGCCATAGAAAGGATTCTGAGGCTGAAGACAACCTGTAATTAAGAGGTGGGAACCAGGCTGCAGTTTAATTCCAAGCAGTTGGACCAGTCCGGCGTATATAGCAGTAGCTCCATGTTGCAAATGTTCCAAAACATTTTTCATTCTTCGTGTGGTATAGTCCATGTCCAGTTTCATCTCAGCGTGACAGAGTCCTGCAAATAGGTCTCCTTGACAACTAAATAGCCCCTAATATCTTCCTTGCTGAACTAGAGAAATGGATAAAGGAATCCATGCTCATGTCCTCCCTCAGCTTCTGTTAATTCCTTACTCAGATAAAACTCCCACTGAAGCCAACAGGAGCTTTGCTGGAGTGAGGACTTGGTTAAAAACGGAATAATGACCTCAGGATTAGCCTCCTGGACAGTAAATTGTTTTCTGTTGGGAGGCAGCAAACATGGTACGCTAAGGGAATTTCTAAGCACATACAACAGTGCCAAAAATACCAGCACAACTCACTTGTTTAGGTGGAATTTAAGCCTGCCCCTGGCAGCAAAATGGAGTCTAGGCTTTGGATAAACTTTTCGAAAGATCCGAAGTGTCCCATTTTCAGAAGTCACACAGGGTATGTCTACACTGCATTGTAAACACGGATCTACAGGACCTGGGCTTGTGGACTGTCCTCTTCCAAGCCTGCACATGGTCATCCACATTGCCTTGTAAACTTGGATTTATGACTGCTGGACCTGGGTCTCCCAACCGTGTTAACACCTCCACACTGCCCTAAGCAGACCTTCTGGCTTGAGCTGTGTCCACCCGGGCATGGACCCAAGTCACTGCAGGACTTGGGTTCTGAAGCGCCCCCTCAGTATGAGTTATATGACTTGGGTCCTGAGTGCTTACTGATCTGAGTCCAGCTGATTTGTATGTGGATGGATGGGGGGCTTGGGTTCAAACCCAAGTCAGAACCCAAGCTTAGGTTTCATCCACACAGGGGTTAAAAAACCCGGCTGGCCTGGGTCAGCTGACTTGGACTCAAGGGGTTTGGACTGTGAGGCTAAAAATTGCTGTGTAGACATTCGGGCTTGGCCTGGAGACCACGTTCTGGGACCCTGTGAGAGTGGGGGGGGTCCCGGAGTTGGGGATCCAGCCTGAGCCCAGATGTCTGTACAGCAATTTTTAGCCCCACAGTCCAATCCCCGTGAGTCCAAGTCAGCTGACCCAGGCCAGCCAGGGTTTTTTAATCCCTGTGTGGATGAAACCTAAGCCCGAGCAAGCTGTCCCGAGTCAACCATGGCCATGCTGCAGGTCTTTTATCACTGTATCGCTATACCCATCGGTGCTTAGCATTTTCAGTGAGACTTCGGCGTCTAAGACCAACATCCTCAAAGGTACTTAGGCACCTAATTCCCATTGATTTATTTCAGTGGGAGTTAGGCACCTAAAAACCTTACGTGATTTTTGAAAATGGGAAGTAGGATCCTAAGTCACTTAAGTGCTTTTGAAAATGGATACATTCTGTCCCTGCAACAGCTGTTTCTCGTCTCCAACGCAAAGTAACAGCATTACTGCACTAAGAGTGCCCTGCCAGTTAGCTACTGATAGGTGGTGCTGAGAGGTGGTGCAGAAGCAGCCAGCCTGATAGGTGGTGCAGAAGCAGCCAGCCTGGTGCTGCATTGGTAGAACTCTGGTATTTCTGATGGCTCCTGCCTAGCATGGTGGCATTGAAACATCACTGATGATAGTTCAGTTCCTATCTTCAAGGACCAGAGGCATTCCTTTCCAAAAAGGGCATGACCTGGTTCATGGTTTGGCAAGTTACAGTGTGTCAGCACATGGTAAGGTAGAAACCATTGTCCCCGATCTGGTGAATGGATATTGCTCTTCTTCCTGATGACCATCCATAACTCTACTCAGCTCCTCTCCCACTGGTCCCAAAATGTTATGCATTGGCTGGTTTCCCCAGTAATTAGGTCCTAGGAAAATATATATATGGATGAGTGGTTTATTATGGAGAAGAAGTAGCCATCCATTCCGTAGTTAAAGCTATCTGCAAGTTTCTATTAGAAGGCCAGTACCAAAGATGTACCTGAACTGCAAAGATCAGTTTTGGATTTCCAAACTTTTCCAACATTGGGGGGTTTGGGGATCTAAGATTTTGATTCAGGCCATCACAGAATTAGGGGTCAACCATCAATTGCCCAGATTTGACCTTCCCCAACTTTCCAGGCTGTTCTAGTCCCAGTTTTCCATCTTTAATTGATATGCAGACTATCACTAATAATACCCTATTCTAGTCTTCATGGCAAAACTCTGTTCCCTCAAGAATCAATGCACTGGAGGCAAGACATGAAGTGGATTAAGAAACTCCCTCTCCGTAAATGCATTAGTTGACCATGTTAATTTCACACAGGTCATTTGACTCTCTCAGGGCGATAATGGCTCAAGAAAGATGCAGTCTTAGTAATCTAGTAACTCCTTTGTATGTAATTATACAAAGATGATGGCCAAAGTATTCTTCCACCCTTTTTTAAATACATTTTCTTTTCCTTGGTTACGACAAGGCCCCTTGGAAGCTTGAAACTGAAATAGGTTTCCATATCCAAATGCTTTTTTGCTTCATCATCCTGTGCACACGCTGGCTTCTTATTGCAGGTGCTGGGGGCATGCACGCTAATTTCTTAACCCAGTACACCGGTGCGCCTAAGAGATTTTTCAGTTGCATTTAAGAGATTTAGGAGTGCAAGTTCTGAGTTTTGAAAATCTCACCCTGAATGCTGAGCGGTGCACACTGGCTTAGAATTGTAGGGTAGCTCTGAGTGCTAAAGTATACACACTTGTTCGTTGTTATCGGTGAATCATGAGCCCTGGGCTGTGCACACTGGTTTGTTATTGTAGGGTGGCTCTTAAGCACTGGGCTGCCCATACTGGTTTGTCGTGATAAGGCTAATCATGAGGGCTGAGCTGCATACACTGACTTATTATAAGGGGGCTGCTCCTGGGTAGGGCAAGTGGTTTTTACTAATAAATTATACAAAAAGTAATTGTCTGATCATGAGAAACAAGGTGGAGTCAGAAATCTACTCATCCTTCAGAGCTTATTTTCTGCCTTGGCTTCTGTGGAGCAGAAACAACAGTTCTGCTCAGAGTATTCTAATTGTTGAGTACCTTAGCCTCCCACGCAGTCCAGGTTTTAACTGGGCTTCTCTCCGGTTTTTCAGTAAAACTGGGTAAGCTGTTACCATCCAATCTACTCCACCCTCTGCCTATAGCGACTGTAATTATAGGGGGGGCGGGGGGGGAGCGTGGTGCCCAGCACAGTAGGGCCCTAATCCTGATTGGATGCCTCCTAAATAAACAAACAATCATTATTTTCTAATTGCCTCATTCCTTGTTGTAAATGTTGACAGACCTGAGGACCAGCTCACTTGTAGCAGGCGACGTTTGCGCTGGCAAAATTTACACTTGCAATTTTGCACCTAACAGAAAGAGAAGCGGGTGCAGATGTGAGTGACGTGCGCCTTTGTCTGCCTCATATACAGCTGTGGCTGAATTGCGGTGGGCACTGGTGGAAAGGGAGGCTGCCTTTCTGAGAATGGGACCCCTTGTGATCATTGAAGAAGTTCATCTTGGGGAGGGGTTGGAATGAAATGAAGGTGGTAGTTTGGCAAGCTAGAACGGGGAAGACATTCCCTGACCAGGCGGTGTCATGGAGATTCAGAGGTATTCAGATCCTGTTTTAGGTCCATCTCTGCTACAGAGGAAATAAGAGGTACCATCAGTTAAGCATACTCATTGGAGGCCAATCAGTACATAGCACTGTCACAGCAACAAGATTCCTAAAGACAGCTCCCATGATGGGGACCGAAAGGCAGGGAGGCAAAGGTAGATAGATACTGCCAAGTTATGAGGTAACCAACACACTGAACTGACAGAACATTATATATTAGCCTGGGTAGCGGGTTTTTTTCAGACTCAGTTCATTAAGATACTTAATTTTACACCTAGCTGTAAGCACACAAGTCATCTTATTGGCTTCAGGGCAGTTACATGTGCTTAAAAGTAGGCATGTGCTTAAGAACCTTTCTGAACTGGCAGCTTTCCAGCAGAAACATTTGTTTTATTGGACTCCTTTACAAAATTAGGGAGGTTGCCAGCAGAAAAGTGAGCTAAATCCAGCCTGATTGGATAACACAAGGATATTTTCTTTTCCCCCTCCCCGCCCAATAAAAAAATCCTCTCCTCGCTCAAATAATTCTCATGCTGGATTCATGTTTTATCTAATCTCCCTTTTATGACCCAATTTGGTTTAGGCCACATTGATGTAAAGTCCTTTGTTTTCCTCACTAATGCGCTAAAGTTGCTGTCAAACACTTCAAAAATTTTTTGCTGGGATGGGGGAGATAAGATCACAAGCCGCCGTGAGCAAAACCCAGAAGGCTTCAGGTGGCAGAACGCTTCCAAAATGGCTGCCTTCTGTTTGCTCTGTTCTTTCTCATCCCAAAGGTTGTATCAAAAGGAAGGGTGGGAGGGGAAAGAAAGCAGAAGAAACAAAAGAGGATCGCTTGAGGCCACAATCAATATATTCTATTACAAATCTCCCCGTAGGAACGGGAGGTTGAGGTAACTTTATGTGTCTGTCAGATCGTAAATGCATGAAATAATGAAAAAATAAGGCCTGGCATTCTTAGGAGCACTGGCGTACTGTAGATTACCGCAAAGATGTCG